GGTGAAAAAACTTCCAGACGACCCCACTTCTCTGCCCCCTCTACGTCTCTTGGGTGAGGGAACAAAAGCAGTTGCCAAAAAAGGTACAAAAAGCAACCGCAAGCGAAGTCACTTCATTCTAACAACTGTACCACCGAAACGCAATGGAAGACCCCAAGACGCTTGAAGCCAACCCCGAATTTCTAGTTTCAAGCGAGTTGTCGCTTTTTGAACCCTTGCAACATGTTGTTGGTGTTCAGTCAATGCGATATCGCAGTATTGCCCCAGAAAATGGCATTTCTCAAACAGGACCCATTTCTTTTCGTATCATGAAAGAACCCCACTACGTTTCCCTTGCCAAAAGCTACGTTACCATGACGCTGAGTCTTGTCGACAGCGAAGGTAAGGGGTACGCAAACTTTGAAAAAATTACAAATCCGGACAAGACATTCAAAATTGAACCCAAGGAAAAGTGCGCCCCTATTCAGCTAGCCGCAAAGGCATTCTGGAAGCAAATTACTGTCAACATTAATGGAACCCAAGTGGAGAACACGGGCGACTTGTATCCGTATCGAGCGTTTATCAACACCGAATTTATGTCGGACCTCCAGGCAAAAAAATTCAACGTTGGCATCCCTCAATGCTATAGTATTCTGGAAGCGGGCACTGAATTTTCAACAAACGATGGCTTCGAGGATCTATCGCTGGTGTTTATGAAAGGCCGTCAAGTACGCGTTAATAGCCCGCTAGACTTGAATATTGCCACCTCCAACAAGTTGATGCTGAACAATACCGACATTCAAATTACGCTGCATCGACAGTCTGATGACTTTTTGATTCGCAACTTTGGATCGACAAAGACTGACTGGAAGTTCAAGATTCACGACATTCGCTTGGTGTTGGCGGAATATCAGTTGTACCCGTCTGCGAGTGCATCCATTGAGAGAGCCCTGCTAAGCGGCCAAAAAGCCAGTTATCCCATGCGTAGCTACCAGACAAAGGGCTTCTACTTGCCTGAAAATCAGCTAAAGGTGCCCGAGATGCAACTATTTAATTCCAACCAGGTTCCTCGACGGTTGTTTGTGGGACTGGTCAAGAACAGCGCATTCGTCGGTTCACAGGACACTGACCCATGGCGGTTCAATAACTTTGACTTGAAGAACATTCAAGTGCGTTTTGCAGGGCAAACGGTACCCACAAAAGCATGGAACCTCGACTGGGACAGGGAACACGGTGTTGGCTGGACCGAAAGTTACACGGCAATGTTGAACGGCACAGGTTTGGCGGCAGACAATCGGGCTAATGGTATCGACATGGATACGTTTGCCGACAGCCGATGTGTGCACGTGTTTGAGCTACTACCTGAGGCAGACGGTGGCGTCGACAACTTTGACATGGCCATTTCGGGGCAGTGTTCGTTGGACCTAGAGTTTGGTACGGCGACACCTGCCGGTGGTCTCATGTGCGTCGTTCACGCCGAATTTATGAATAAAATGACAATTGACCACACACGGCAAGCCCAGACTTTGGCCATTTGAAGATGAACAACCGACAGCTGAACCTTATGCTCCGACACAATCGACACACACGTCCAAACCACATTGGTGTTTTTGCGTCCGACACTTTGCCAAATTGGAAGCCATGCGGTGGTGGACTTGTCGTAAATTTGGACGAGTCCACTGGACCTGGTAGTCATTGGGTGGCCATTTTTGGTAAACGAGGTATCGGCTACTACTTTGACCCTTTGGGCCAGCAACCTAAAGGTAAAATAAAACTTTGGTTGGAAAAGACGTTTAGGCGCGTCAGATACATCCCCGAGCAACACCAAAAGTTTGGCACCAAAACTTGCGGTGCATTTGTCTTGGTCTTTTTACATCAAATGTCGTTGGGTTGTAAATTTTATGACTTTCACAAATTTTTTCAAAGCATTGCCAATGACGATCACTTTGTGATAAACTATGTATCGAAAAATTTTCGTGTCAACTTGCCTTTGGAGTGGGCAGCTGCAAAGTAGAGTCTGAGCTTTTTCTCTTCTCCCTCTCATCTCTACAACTACGAAGCGTCTGCCGGAGGTTCTCATTCTTATCTTTGTCGCGCTGCGGTACGGTCGTCAAATGGAGCTCTCTCAACAACCACAATTCGCCATGCCTGGTTCTTTGACGCACATGTGTGACCAGTGCCAAAAAAATTTCACGACACGCTCAAACCTCAATCGACATGTGCATCTCCACTGCCCTGGAAGGCGTAACTTTGCTGTGAGCTACTCCAACGAAAGTATTCCTCCGGCTCCAGTGACTACCAGCAACTCTGTCAAGGACGAGAACAACCATCAGCAGCAAGTCGAGAAGTCTTCCAGCGTCACCGCCAACGAGTCAACCGAAACCAAATGCAAACTTTTTCAATTGTTGTTTTTTCTTGATCCTGTTAATCGTGTTATATCCGCTGACTTCGATGCATTTAAAAATCCCTTATCTTAGTGTTGTGCCTGAATAAATATTTGAATGAAAAATTGTTGTTGTCTGAAAATGCACGATAAAAAACACACATGGCATAAAAGCAAAAAATGTTACCGTTTTGACCTCCTCAGGGTCTGGACAGGCGTTTTGGATACCTAAAGTTGATATTTTTGTTAAGAATTGGGAAATCTTACCTTTTCGACATGTAGTGGATATCGAACCCAGGTTGTCTGTTTACAAATCGAAACACTTACCATCTGACCAAACGGTCAGACATTCACAAAAAGTTGTTGGCAGTTTTGTCTTGGCAAGTCGCATTTAGTCGTAACGGTGCTCGGGCTTTGTAACGGGTGCAGGCACCCTGGGGTCCCAAACCCCTCCTCCCGACTTTCCGGTCCTTTCCCAGTTGGAGCCCAAAACCCCCCCTTTCCCTAAGTTGGGGGCCCTTCCCCAGTTGGGGTCCCAAACGCCCCACGTTCGAAAACGGCTGGCGGGCGTCAGCTGTCGCTTGAGTCTCCGCCTGTTTTGACGCGTACAAACACGTTTTGTGGTAGTATAAGAAATATGGCATGTAAAACAGAAATTGACTTGGTGGCATGTGATTCTTGAAGGGGGGGTAAAAGGACCGATACTAGTAGTTGGGTGCCTTACAAGGCATTACGACAGGTAATCGCCGCGCACTCAAAATGTCGTTTTCGCCCCAAAAAGAATTCGGATTTTCTCAAATATTTTAGGTTTTTCGCAATTAAATCACTTTTCTGGCACTTCTCGGCAGTGACCCTTGCGTTTTTCGACCCGTAGGTTCAATTCCCGCACGCACGAATTTTGACTTCCGAGCCCCTTTAAATGTTCAGAAACGCTAAAAAGCCCTACATTTTTTAATTTTCTTTTTTTTTCTTTTTTTCTTAAGACTCTGTATATTCCAGTAAACAGCGAAAATTCTGCAATTTTGTTGCCAATGAATTCTGGCTCAACATTTTGAAATTTTAGGTTTGAAAATGCGTGTTTCATTGCCCTAGCTCCAAAACTTGCGATTAGTGGAATACGTTGTTATTGTCGTTGCTCGTCAAAATTTAGTTATATTTTTCAACACTTCTGCAAGTTAAAGAATGCGCAATTTTCTCTTCCTGGTCATTAAAAATATTATTAGGAGGCACGGGGACCAAAAATAATCCTTTTGCTAGTCACCAAGTTGATATTTTTAACTCTAAAATAATGATAGCATATCGCTAATTTTAATCACCTCTGGAAATTTATATTATATTTATATTATAATTAAATTCTTCAGCTAAAATAATCCCAGCCAAGCTTTTGAAAATTCATGTTTCAATTCATCTCCAAATGCCTGGGACCGGTTTAGTGGTACTTCCCAGGATTCTTCCTTCTTCGTCATCTTCTTCATCCTTCTTCATGCTTCCCAGCCCAGCCGGCGTGCTCCCTTTAAAATTACAAGCCTGGGATACCGATACCATAAAACTCACTATATTCAGAAAGCCAGAAACTTAGATAGCTCATGGTTTTTTAGTTTTTGAAAATTGAGTGTTTTATCCGGCACGGTTTTTGAAAAATCAGGTTTCAATTTATGTACGGAATTTGCGACCGTTTTATTTTACAAATGGTGTTGCACAAATAACATTCTTATTAACTTATTCAGTTTAACTAAAATAGCCTTCCTAGTCCCTTTAAAATTAAAACCCCGGGCTACTGTAAAGCTTACTAAAAGCCGTATGTATAGGTCAGCAACTTCGAGGTTTGAAGACTTAGATGCTGATGGTTTTTTGGGGACTTTGTGTATTTAATCAAGGCAATAGATCTATACATCTTCTGACACTTTAAATTATGATTTATTAATTTTGGTTGCTATTTATATATACTCCGGCCGAGTTTTTTTTGAAAAATCAGGTTTTAATTTATCTACGAGCCCTGCCATTTGAGGTCAGTCTATTCAATGGAATTTAACGGACGGGTGTTTTTCCTGTTAACATTTTTTATTATCTTTTTTTAGCATTATTCATCAAGCCCAGCTTCACTAAAATAGGCTTCATAACCCCTTTAAAAGAAGCAGAAGTCCGGAGGTACGGTAGAAATTATTGAACACTGTTGAACCCCAGAAATTTAAAGTTTTACCTTTTTTCAGGCAGATAATGGCTTTTTAGTAACTTTGTATATTTGATGCGACGCTGTAAGTCAGGGCATTTTTTAACAATTTTACTGCTAATTTTTGAATTTTCGGGATTACGTGCAACGTTAGGTTACAAATGCATGTTTCAGTTCATATCCTCGCTCCAGAAATTGTTTTTCGTAGAATTCTGGAGCGCGGCAATTTATATTTATGGTTTTGTCTTTCTTCATTCAAAACCATTCCAGTCTTTTGAATATTATTAAGGGGTGTATACTACATGACTAGCGTCTACACTCGCAGCTCGGATTGTAAAAAAACGTGTTTCATTTAAACTCATGGTCCCTGAATTTCGGCTCGCCGCAATTCATCACTTCTTTCTGTTCTCAATTTTGCCTTGCCAGTCCCTTTAAAATTACAATTTCTAGTAAATATTAAAACCCGACCCGCTGGCAAGTAGGATCCCCAATTCTGCACTGCCGACGACGGCGCCTTTTTCGAGGAGTAGATCTCCAAGCGAAGTATCACTTCCGGGGAGCCTGAAAAAGATTAATGTTTCACGGCAGGTTCAACAAAGATACTTCGTTATGGGATTTATTTTATAAAAAAATCATACATTTGTTCTTTTCAATTTAAATTTTAAAATTTTCTTGAATTATAATTTTTAACAATTTTTTTATTAGAATTGCTGAGGTTAAAAGCGCAGATTTTTTAAAGAACCAAGTTTACCTTTCAATCCTTCTATGGAAAAAGACCTCGTAAAGATTACTTAACATATTACTTGCTGAAAAGGCGACCGTACGCAAAATTCCTATGGAATCTATGCTAGAAGCATCCAAATTTTGACTTCCCCGTCCCTTTTTGAATTTTTTTCGTGAAAATTTTCTTAGCTTTGCAACCTTTAAACTAGAGCTCTATTCGAGGCAGAACTGACAAGGTAACTCACGTAATTAATGTATTTTTATTATTTTCAATAGCCTTTTTATCTACAACATTTTTTCAGTATAATAGATTTTTACCGCGCTATTTTTATAGGTCCGAGTAAAAATCTTTTCGGAAGTGAGATTCGTAGTATCTCTATTTCTTACTAGAAAAAAAATACAACCGCTTCCACGGCGCTAACTTTAGATGTTTCATCGTGAAAGTATTCTTGTGATATTTTTAGCAGCGGTAGTTCAATCAGAGTGTGAACCCTGAGCTTTCCGAAGCGCGAAAATTTCAGATTCTCAAAAGGCGGCGTCTGGTAGTGCTTTGGAAAATTTTTCTTCGGGTAGTTTTGAGCGCTGATCTCCAAAAACGCAATGATAAATCAATTGGTTTAATTATTTAACTAATCATTTAGATACGTTGAAATATTCAATTGCTCGAATTCGAGAATCTACGATACAAATCTAGATTTCTACCAGCACTGACCCCCCCGCTCCGCGGGGGTTCAGCGCTGGCCCTCCCGGGGGGAATCCCATACACCGAAATCCCGAAATCCCGAAACGCCCCGGCTCCCGGACCCGTCCGAACCGGTCCTGGGGTCCCGCAGCGATCCGGTCGGACGGGCGGGCGGGCGGACGGGCGGGCGGACGGACGGGCGCACGGACATTAGAAATTTATATATAAGTGATTTCATGGATCCAGATGGGGCGCCAGGGGGAATATTCCATGAAAACGACGAAAACCTCATTATTTCATTTCCGTCGTCTTTGATAACCTTTTTATCTAAAACATGTTTACATAAAAAGCAAACTCTTTTGGGTCGCCAATTTCCTAGGAACCTCTGCGGATTTAAATAGTTCTTTTTTTTATTTGTTTTTATACTTCTTTTCTTGATTAAATTTTTTAATAAATTTATAACCAACCTGATGTCTTGCCCATCCGTCGTATTCCCCTCCACCTCGATCACCAACTCTTCGGAGCCCTGAATTGCAAAAACTGGAACAATCAACAAATCGAAAAAAAACACGTGGGAAACTAATGAAAAAAAGGGAATATCCTACATTCAATTTTATTTTTTAGCCTATTGTTTTGGGTTGGAGAACTTTCTAGTGACTGCAAAGAAAGGATGAGATTATTAGGGATAATTTTTTTTTTGGAAATTTGACGAGAATGAAACATTTTTCTCGCAATGTCTAATGAACCTTCCGAATCAGTGATCATTTTGAGCCATTTGAAAAATTTATGCGTTAATTTCAATAAAGATTATTGATATTGGTTTATAAATGGAACACATTTCATTCAGTTTTTTGTGCTGCCTACAAAATTAATAAGCAAACTTAAAACTTTTGTTATGGTTTAAATTGCTCACATCTAATTTAATTCGGACTTTTCCGCTCCGAGTTTCACCTTTCTGTGGGTGATTTTGCACATGGAAGCACGGACTATTAAGAATAATTCTCCTATTTAATATCGGTTTATAAATGGAACACATTTTATTCAGTCTTTTTTTTGTTGCTTACAAAATTAATAGGCAGATTTCGGGAGTGTGCGCCTAGTAATCCGGAATTTCCGCATTTTCTTTGAATTTCTGCGATCGATTTTGGGCATTTTTCCGTTAGTACAGCTATTAAACTCCACAAACTTTAAGCAAAAAATGTTTTAGCTTTTCATGATCTTAGCAAGATGCCAGAATTTTTTAATTTGCTGAAGTGCCGATGTAATAGTCTATCAATATAAGAAGCTCAAGTTACTTACATCATGTTCGAGCAGTTTCGTCCTTTCCACCATCACCACCCCGGTGGCCGAATCAGGGACAAAGGCTCCCGTGCTCACTCGCACGCATTCGCCTAAAAGTTTTTATTTGTGTAAAACATTATGTACAAAAATAATTGGTTGTATCTGGTTTTTATGCCAGCCTTAATGACCCTTAAGGATCGTTTCGGGTTGAGAAAAAAATGTTTTGGAAGAAATGGGCTAGCTTGATAACTCGAAAACCCATGATTTCAGCGTATCGCAGTGTGTTTTATTTTACATCCGTATACAGGGTGTCCCAAAAAAATCGACCCCCCTCTAGCGGGCCGCAGTCATGTCCGATTTTGACGATTTAGGTATCTATCGAAAGCACTCGAAAAGGCGAGAAAACAAGCACTTTTCGTTTTTCAATATGGGAATTTTAATTCATTAAATTTAGGGCCAAAATCGATGAAAACTGCAGATTTTATGCAAAATCGGCATGTTAATTGCTTGCTAAAGCAAACAGGACGATGCTGGTTTTACGCTTTTTACAGAAATCATTGAATATCGAGCGAAGGCTAAAATTTTTTGGAAAACCAAAGGCGCTTGTTTTCTCACCGTTTGAAGGGCTTTCGAATGGTGTGAAAATCATTCCAATCCGAGCTTTCTGCGGTCCGCTAGAGGGGGGGTCGATTTTTTTTGGGACACCCTGTACTGTTTATTTAATTTTTGTAAACTGGGTTTTGGACATGTATCGTATCTCAAAATAACGAAACCAATTTATTTTGCGAGCTGAAAAAGAATAAGTGAATTTCGCGAAAAACTCAGACTTATCCGGCTTCACATTGGGTTTTAGAAAAAATCTTTTGAAAGATGTAAGCTACCCTGTCAATGGAACCACCATTCGTCAAGGCCGTTGGACAATTGTTCTTTTTTATTTTTTCTGTTCGGTTTCTTTTTTATTTTTTTATTGCAGTCCCCTCTTCGCTATCATGGATTCTCGACATCGTGAATTTAAACGTGAAACTAGCTTTGACGCCTGGGGAATTTCGAGAGAAATGTTACAGAGGAAACCCGAGAGCCGGGGGATTGCCGGGAGACTAATCAGCGCTTCGTAAGACAGATTGATAGCGTGTTATGTTAATGTTAAATCCGGTAAAATAGACAGTGATAAATGGCTGATAAAATCTATAGTCAGGCCTTTCGTGCCCGATCAATTCATTACTAATACCATTATTCCACGTGGCTCGTTTTCGGTTTTAGAAAAAAGTGTTCCGACGAAAAGGCCAGTCGTGAAAATGGCAAAACTGATCATTGGTTCCTCATCGCGAGCTTAGACACCCGTTCTACTATTATAATATTCGATTGAACGTTGTTTTTATAGTGAAAATACTGTACATCTAGAAACATTAACGAGCCTTATCTGGAAGCGCCGCAGTAAGGCCATTCGTGGATTTCGACGAAAAGAAATGTGTTGCATCGTGCCGGGCGGATTGCTGGCAAGTAATAATAAATGCGCGGAAGGACCTTTTCGAGGAGCCGGAGCTTTAGCAGTCATCAACCACTCTTTTCTGATACGCCACGTATTTTTGGCCTTTAAACCCGCAAAAAATCGCACGAATTTATATCGTTACGCCGACGAACGATTTTCGATAAATTTTGCAGAAAAAATGTTTCGGGACAGACTACAAACGGGTGACCGGATCGGTATGTATTTCGATTGTATGGAGGGTTTTGTGCATAGTCTTTTTTTGCCTTAATATTACGCTATTAACGTAAACGACCCAGTTTTTTAGGTGTTTCAACCGAACGTGTCGAGGCTGAGAATTGCAATGGCATCAATTTCCCCTTTTGAACTGTGTATCGAAAAACGTGACGTAATAGGTTTACCTGGATTGATGGTCTTATTACATGGCGAGCCGGCTGTTGAGAATCCAATGACGGTGCGTTTCCCTGGCGGATCGGAAGCTAAAAATAACAAAAAATATATATATCTTAAAGGCAAGGCAAGTTTATGGATTTTCTTGGCGATGGAAAAAATTCCTTAGATCCTTGAAGAAGCGTGCCACCCAACGCACACCGCCGTTTTTCCATTGCGTAGCTGATTACGGCTCTTTTAAAGCTTTAACATTTTAAAAAGCGGCGTGTGCGTCGCGGTTCAGGAAAGTAGGAGGATTCGCATTAGTATCCATCTTAAACCGGGACGAATTACTAACGGTTGTATACGAATTAACGCGTCGCATCGGTGTTACATATTTTTTTGTGGAATTCCGGACTGTCAGCGCGGCACGAAGACTGGGTATGGTTCTCGCTCTCGCTCTCTCTCTCTCTCACTCTCTCTCACTCCCACTCTCGCTCACTACACACACTCTCTCATTCTCACTCTCCCCTCTCTCCCCTCGCGCTCTCACTCTCTCTCTTTCTCTAACTCACCCTCTCTCTCGCTCTCTCTCTCTCTCTCTCTCGCTTTCGCTCTCACTCCCTCTCCCTCTCTCTCTCTCTCGCTGTATCTCTCGCTTTGTCTCGCTCTCTCTCGCTCAAATTCATTAAAATACTTTACCCAAAACAGCATATCCATCTTTGATCGAGGTGCGCACCTCCGGGACGTTATACGCCGAACAAATATCTTCAGCCACCACGTCACCTGTAATCTCATTTTTAATTCAAAGTTCTTAAAAAATACATCCTACTATATATAAAAAAATAGTGTCTGTGTGTGTGTAGACACTTTGCATAAAAACCCGGGTTCCAGCCATAACTCGAAGGGGAAAGAGTTTTTTTCTTCCAGAAATAAGGTAGTTAGGGGTAGTCGAGGGCGTAGATTACTGCACGCTTATCAGATTTTTAGTAAAATTTCGTTTTATATCTTATTTTAACGTTTTAAAAACATATGGAAATAGACTAATTTGCATACGAGGCGCTAGGAGCCCCATTTTCGCTTTTGTCGCGTTGGCGACCGGTTGCTTTTGCTATTTTTTAGGGTTCGCTCTAGCTCTTCGCCCGAATTATGCAAAGCCCAACTTTTAAAGATCCCCGCGTAAAGGCCAGGGGTGAAAAGCCGCGTTGCGGCTTTTCAACCCTGGTTTGGGGACTAAATCTGTTTATTTCTACACTCTACTCCTAAAATTAAGAAAAAGATGGCAACGCCGCACGGCGTATTTTTTGAAACACAGTTAAAATGTGGTTTTTGGAATGAGGTTTCAACGTCATTCCACAACGTCAGCGGGGATTTTTCAGGAATGCGGAAAGCTGATATCTTACCGATAGCCACTTCCCAAACGGCGACGCGTTTTGTCGTGACGAGCGTAGCCTAAAAATATAAAATTGAAACAGAGGGGTGATGACGACAGGGTGTCCCAAAAAAAAAACCCCACGGCATTTGGCCGTCTCCTGTCGGATCGGGACCAAATTTTTACCAGCGATGGGGACCAATAAAGACTATGTGCGGCCGAATTTTCTAAGCAAAATATTGTAAAACAAAAAAGTTGTATCGAAATTAAGGTTTATTTTGCCAATTTAACAGGAGTTTGACAGATTTCGGCCTCGAACGCTTGGCAAAAATCAGGGGTGCACTTATTTCCCCCTGTAGAAATTTTTTGATTTACAAAAATTACGTCTAAATTGGGTCTTTTGATCACTTTTTATCATCATAGAGAGCCGAAACCGAGCCGAAAATGACCATTTTTGGGAAAATTACTCAGAATCGGCATGCTAATTGCGAAAACATAGCCAAAAATGAGTACCAGTGTTTTCCAAAAGCAGTTTTTAGCGATAACTTTTTTGTTTTATAATCCTTTGCTTAAAAAATTCAGATGCACATAGTTTTTATGGGTCCCCATCGCTGGTAAAAATTTGGCCCTGATCCGATAGAAGACGGCCAAATGCCGAGGGGGTTTTTTTCGGACACCCTCACTCTACTGAAATTGGCGTCAACGCTGGGTTTGAGACTACCCGAAAAGTTGAAACATTATTTTTCAAAAGCACCAATGCTGATGCCAAGCTTTTGAATACCCTTAAAGGGATGCCGACGGCATAGTCAATCGGTTACGCGCTGGAAAGAAAATGTCTCTGCGCCTCTCCCCCTGGGCGCGCTCTCTCCCTGTTGGCTACTTGCCAATTTGTTGATGAGGGGGGATCGACACATGCCGTCGGCAGCCCTTTAACATCGGCCGTGTAATGACCATAATAGCTAAAAAAAACCAATGACAGAAAAACAGTAACAAATCGATGGCAAAAGTCAGGCAAAAGGCAATAGATATTTCAGATAGCGAGAGAGAGCATAGATACTTGATGGATCCGGCCCATTTTCGCACTTATCTTCCTATTTTATTTTTTTAAACAAACCTTCCTAATACCGTATTACCTTTAACAAAATAGAAAATTAATAAATAAAGTGTATTAGATTCAGCCAAAATTTGATAAAGCTTTTGTTATTTATTTAGAATTGAAAAAGATAAAAGTGTGATGCCATACATTGGTACATTGGTACAGGAGATTTTAGGTAGTTCAAGATGGTGAAGGCCGATGGAATTCGTCAAATCCATCTATTTTACCTTCGATTTCGACGAAAAACTATAGAAGCCTTTGGCTTATACATATTAAAAGGATTCCGGTACCTCATCCTCAATGACACGATACGCCTCGTCCATCGGCAATGCTGGCCACGGTGATACGCGATGACGATCGATCACGCCCATTTTTTTAGCTCTACAAAATTCGAAACTAAAAACAAATGTTTAAAACAGAAACGTTTGTAAGATTCATCTGCGTATTAGAAAAATTGGCATAAACAACCAATATATTGAGGCGCCTGCAAATAGCCACATTCAGAAATTCAAAGGTTTGAGATGAGGAAATTAAGGTTTTTACTGAAACTTCATCTTTTCTTACCAAGGGTTTTTCCAGTTTTCAATAAAGAAAATATATGATGATTCAGTATTTGTAAAATTCTGTCAGGCAGTTGAACTCGAATAAGTCAAGACACAAATTTAAAAAAGAATGTTTTATGGAAACCAGAAATTGTGGTTACGGGGCTAACGCACATTGATTGAATTAATTTTAGTAGCGATAATTTTGCCGAAAAGCTTATGTGGGGAAAAACCTGCATATAGCAAGGGGTAGATGAAAGGTACCAGGTAACCAAAATCATGTCAGTCCAACATACTGCTCAAAAAAAACCAACAGTTATTGCCCAAATTACCCCAACATCTGTGATGCGAAAAACTAGAAATATTGAAAAAATCCGGAATTCTTGGGCGATAGTGACTTTTTGAGGGCGTGGTGATTACATGTCGTAATGCCCCGTATGGCGCCTAATTGTTCAATTCTGTGATTTCAGGTCAATTTTAATAATTAAAAAGTCTAGGATGATCAAAATTGCCTGATGATTCCCGAAAACACTTCAGCATTTTTCAATACAAGCGTTTTCACGTCGAAATAAGGGCTAAAGAGCATTCTCTTTAGCCCTTATTTCGACTCCTTCTATTGGTACATGCTATTGGTCCAGAAGGAGTATTGTGCCGATGGCTAAAAAATGTTTCAGAACAAGTAGAGGTTATGACGCGAATTCTGGCGAATGATTCGTTAGGTAAAGGTTTTCCGAAACAAAATTGAAACGCGAATAAATTTCAAATAATAAAAATGCATAGAATTGAAATCCTACTAGTAATGAATAGATTAACGGCCAGCTTGAAAAGCGATTGGACGTGAGACGCGACAACAAAAAAGAATCTTCCGAAAATTCATGGATAAGGACGTCGATTCTCCCGAGCAATGTGGAGCGCTGCGTTGTTGACTAATGTATTGTTGTAGTATGTGTTATACTAAAGTATTGACTAATACGCGCCTAAACTTGCAGTTGCCAGATCCATAGTTTGGCCAAGCGATAGCCAAGCGATTGCCAGATCCATAGTTTGGCCAAGCGAATTGAAACGAATCGGTTTAAAAAAGTAAAAAATGTTAGTGATACTAGTAGTGATACGCGTAATAATTATCAAAATAATAAGTGAAATTTGAGGGTTATTTCTGACAATAAAATCGGTAAATATACCAAGGGTTAAAAAATCTTGTTACGAAGAAATTAGTGGTAAGAAACCCGACTGAACCAAATAATGGAACCGTAAATAGTCGCTCTTTCCCTCTTTTCTCTCTAACATCTCTGCTTTACCATGTTAATTTCAACTCTAATAAAAATCCGTTTTGTTAAGCCGTTTTTAAATATAGGTGAAGTTTACAGAGACTGACAATAAGATGAGGGAAGCAAAAAGGTTAAAAACAATGTTGCAAATAAACTAAAGGTTAGGAGCCCGATTGAGCTAAATATAACTGTACTGACATTATAATTTTACATGATTTCAAGTTCACCAAAAATACTTTTCTTGAATCGCTTTGAGATATAGGTGAAATCGACAGATCGAGAGCGCAAAATGGAGCCGATCAGCGGCTGGGCAGTGAGAAGAGCCAAAGAACACGACAGGAAATACGGCGCATTCTCTGATCTCCTTTTCCCCCCACCCCCTATCTCCATCACAACACCCAATAGATACAAACAACAATTCGTGCGGCTCGAGGTATTGATTTGCTGCGAACTAAACATTAAAAAGATCCAGAAAAGATGGCTGCGAGTTGAAACATCTTTTTGGATCTGGAGGAAAGTCAAATTTTTTGAGTTGAGAAAGGCCCACTATCGCTATAATCATTATTTTAATATTGTTTTTAAAGCGATGAAATATATTTCAAGTGGAAAAACGGTCGACAAACCCTTAAAAAGTTAAAATCCTAAATCTTGCTCGGAAGTGACCATTTTTGTTCGAAAAATCGATATTTCTGTACTTTTAATCAAATTTGTAAAGTTTTTTAGCTTAGGAATAGTAAAAACAGTTTAGAAGCACTTCCACTTTCTATATTCGCAAAATTGAATCGTTAGAAAAAAGTTGGTTCCCTCTCCCCCGTTAATGCGAAAGAACCGATTGAAAAACGTCTGGTTTTAAACAGCCTAAGACAACGCCCAGTCTTGGGGGATTATGCTATTTAATTTGCCTGTTATCGTGGTCGCTTCTAAAACACGATATTTTACACCTGTCAAGTAGGTCCAAAACTACGATTTCTAGGTCGAGGTAGCGAAGAAGCAACGCCGATTAATCACTCAAAACGGCAGGAAATAGGGTTAAGCGTTAAAACATCTTACTGTATGAGCATGAAAGTTAATTTTCCCTTTCGTCCAGAAATGCCTAATATCGCGATAGTACTTACTTAAATTCAAATTTGAAAATAAAAAATACAAAAATACAAAAATACAAATTTAAAAATAAAAAGTTTATATTCGATATCTTGCGGGAAAATCCGTCAGTTTTGGTCCGAAAGCGATTTTTTTAGATTTGAAAATAATTGTTTGTGCTATAACTATTTTATTTTTGGCTCTTTCTAGCTGAAACTAAACTGCAGAGTATATTTTCTGACGCTCTATAAAACGATCTTCTGCGTTTTTTTTTTAAATTTCCCGAAAGCTGGATTTCAAAGTGATGTCCCTAGGTTTAAGGGGCAAAGTGGACTCTAGTTCTTTAAGCCCTAGAAGCCATGACCGTCAGAATATTGTTAAACAAACGTTTTTCGGGTCGGGTAAATGCTATTAAAAATAGTTGCTTCCCCGAGAAGCCAATTTTTCGGCAATTGTTTTATGATAGTACGTGCATCTGTCTGACCTTGCTATATTCACATCCGTTCCATCCGCGATCCGCCCGAGGTTACCGGCATTTGCCAGTCCCTTTAAAATCGTCAATAGTAATTCGAGCATGTCAAAAATAATTCATTTCAAACAACCAGCGCCCAACACCCGCTTCGCGGGCCTTGGGCGCTGGAATGCGGCCTCTGCATGAGAAATTTGACTTTCCGATAGCTCGGGTCCTTCGGACCCCCACCACACGCGCGTGTGCAGCTGGCAAGAATGAGGAAATTTGTATTTTTTTCACATTATGCAAATAGCCCTCGGGTACCCCAAAAATGAATAAAACCGGCTTTAACTTTGTAAACTTGTATTTTATCGTAATTCTGAGAACGCCATCGGAAACAGAAGAGTCGATTCCCCCGAGTGACGAAGAATTGGGGCGTTTTTGACACGGGAAGGCTCTCAAATCGGGCCTCGAAACTGACATCCACACACACACACAAAGATACACACCAAAATTATATAAGGTAAGATATGTGCGTTCAATACCGTACTACCGTTAATTTTTCTGCTAAAAAGTTGTGAAACATGGAATAGCTTTGCGGGTCTGGAGGAGTCGGTTAAAGAAAAAGTATGTTTTGTCGAGAAGCAACTTGTACAAGCTTTCTTTTGACGTATTCTCACAGCCCACCATAAAAATTTGCTTAATTTTTCGCTTGCAACGGCTTCGAAGAGAGCGGGAACGTCATTAGGTGTGTTACGTAGCCGGCGGCTTCAAGTCGATTCTTAGCCTCGATCCGTTCCTTGCTAGTCCCTGAAAATACCTATTGCCCGTAATGCCCTGGGGGCTCGTCCAAATCACATGAAATATCTTCCACTTTAATGTGAAAACACCACTAAAATCAGGCGGCGCAAATCAAAGCCAATCGTTAGCATGCGGAAATCCAAGATTTAAAAAAAATTTCAGTCCTTTTCTCGATCTTTTTTTGCTGTTTGAGAAGCCGTAGACGAGATTCTGTAAGTGTATTTGCAGGTCGACTAGGTCCAGCATAATCCTTAAACCACGGTCAATGCTACGTAGCTACAAAATACGATTTTTAGGCTAAGGTGTCGATGTGCTGTCAACGACAAGAGAAAAGAGTCAATTACTCAGCAACAAATCGAGGTAATATCGTTAAGAGTAGAAACATTGGCTTTTACAAGAATTTAATCATCCTGAAAGATTCCCGCCGGTGGTGAATTTCAAGCCGGAAAAAGCACAGTTAACACAGTTTTTGGCGCATTCCTATTATCGTGGGCATCTAATTTTTCCCTAATGCACAAATTTGAATTATTTGTATCGTCGAAAAATTATCTAAAACGCTGAACACAAATAATTTGAACTCTTAATCGTAAATCTACTGTGCTTACCATAAAAAATAAATGGAGTGATGGTTCTATGGAAAATCTGAAGAGGCTCTTAGGGATCCATTCTTGTAGAGGATCTGCGGTTGCGAGCAGCTGCAAAAGATCGATTTTTAGGCACCTCAATTCAGATACCCGGCAGTAATAAATAGAAACATTAAAGTTTTAAACCGTGTAGAGGAATTTATCTTCTTTTTTATTTAAAAAAGCCGATGCGAGCTTAAGTTGTTTTATCTTACCTTCGAATTTGGCTACTTCACGCGCCAAAGATAATCCTTAAACTACGGTCAGTCCAACATAGCTACCAACTACGATTTCTAGGTTAAGGCATCGATTTGTGACTAGGAAGCAAACCCATTCCTCCGAACTCACCTGAAAAATTATCAAGCAAAGTTGGGTTTAGAAGCATCAGATTTTAAAATTGCACAAAGGAGAAAAAAAAGCGGTGCAAACTTTATAACTTTTTCCTTGGTGGGCTCCGGAAGGATGGGTAGGTACAATACTGAGCAATATTAACCTTTGGGACACCGGAAACAACTCTAATCCATCGAAAACATCGAATTTTAATCGGTTGTGAATTCCTCGATACCGGACAGCAGCCGATAGAGTTGGTACTATTGACAAGCATTA